GTTCAAAACCGCTTAAACAAAGCTTTCTTAAAGGTATTTTAGTATGTAAACGGTAGATATAGGCATATTTTTATCCCTAAAAATTTCTCATCTGTTCGGAGTTTAGTGATCCGAAAATTACAGGGATCAAAAATAACCTTTCCAAAAATTTTAGCCAGAAAAAAGGCTCCCGAAAGTTCTAGGTGACCTTTTTAGGGTAAAAATCTGTTAAAAATTGGCAATTATGCCATTTTTTTATGTTCGAAAATCCTAGGAGAGGAAGGCAAACAAGAGATTTTACAACAAATGTTCCGAAAATTCTAGATCTCAAATCGTCTTTTGAATAGATATTTTTCGAAAATTGACGTCGGGTGCCCCTGCCCTATGCGAGTGTGAGCAATGTGGAGTGTAGAAAGCGGGTCGGTAGGCAACACACGACTTTTATCTCGTGCCAAAATGCTGCTTGTACAAGTGAATATTTTCTCTTACTGATAGATTATGCTGGAGATTATGCTCTGGAGGGGTATACATTTTGAATGAGCAAACTATGTGATTTTTGCCGCCTGTTTCATGCTGAGAGGTCATGACACGCACATTATTGTCTCTGGTCGGCATGATTGATGATTTGCCCTCTGCAAGAGCAGTTTCTTTGACCTCTTTTGACACGTAAAGTTCTTCATTGCGGCTAAATAAGGGTTTTAGGTTGTTTTGTTTTCTCCAAAGTCCCTCCTTGATCTGAATAATCGAAAGCCATTTTCTTTGTCACTGTTTTGTCCGTGAATGTGATGGTCTCCTACGATGAGTTTTGTCACGCTGGGCCCAGCTCGTTAGTGTTTTTCCAAGATGTTAAATTCTCACGGATAGTGATTCACAGATCCAAATTTCGAAGAATGCATTGCAGCTTAAACTGAAGCTACTTAAAACATTGAGAACTACGTTGTGAGTCAGTCAAGATTGCTCTTAAGCAATGATTTTTAAACTCCACCTTGTTCTTCTAAAGAGATCTGAAGATAACAGTGGCAGATCAAGACCTTCAGATAAGGGCGGGGCGGTCATCCAGACCCTGAGTTAAGAGGGGGGCGGCCTCAAAAAAAATGTTTTTTCGGCCCTTCGGGCCTTATTGTGGTCTAAAATAAGGGAGGGGGGCCGGGCCCCCCGGGCCCCTCTCCTGGTAATGTGAGTCTGGACTGGAGCGCGTAGATAACTCCTTCCTGCGACTGTTCTGTTATTGCCACTTTGTTATCAGGCAAGACAGAGGCTGGTGAGCAGGATTGCAAAAACATCTTTTCCACGCGCCAAGTTCACAAGGCAGATCTTCTGTTTACAGGCGCCCCAAACTCACGTTACGAGGGATGGGTGTAATGTAATTTACATACCATACGTTACAGGCGACGGTTGAAAATATAAGAGACTTTGTATGAAAACTATATAACTGAGATCTGTGAACGCGAAATAACGCAAAACCTTACTTTTTCTTAAATGAAATGAATAAAAAATACCTGCCTGCAATGTAATCCACTGCGTTCTGGTGTCTGTTTATCGTTTTACTGTTTTTTTTGGCTTTATTGCGTAACCGCTGTTACTCCTTTCATAGATAGAACGAAGTGCCGGACGTCGAGGCACGTCTGGCTTTCGTCCAGTGCCTGTGACCTCTGTTGCGCTTACCAACTAATTTGCATTATGACAATTAGAACTTACACGACGGGTGCCAGGGCGGAAATGACACGTCAACTAGGCTCTTGTACTGTGAAAAAGTCGTGTAAGTGCAAATTAGTTGGCAAGCGCAACAGTGGTCACAGGCACTGGACGAAAGCCAGACGTGCCTCGATTTCCGGCACAAATGGCTCGATTTAATGAGGAAATCATGGATCTTTTTTCGAGCCGATCTTCCACAGAGGAAGACGAGGTTTCCCTCTTAGGCTGGAGATGAAAAATTTGCAGCGGATTTGAATTTCGGCAAAAAAAAAATGGCATTCTTGTTGCGAGTGGTCCAGGACCCCGACAGATCGAAGTGATGACCAGCCTTCACTTCGTTCTATGAAAGGAATAACAGCGGTTACGCAATAAAGCCAAAAAAAACAGTAAAACGACAACAGACACCAAAACGCAGTGGAATACATTGCAGGTAAGTCTTTTTTATTCATTTCATTTAAGAAAAAGTAAGGTTTAGCGTTATTTAACGTTCGCAGATCTCAGTAATATATTTCCCTTACAAAGTCTCTTATATTTTCAACGGTCGCCTGTAACGCGACACCGACGCGTCACCTATGGTATGTAAATTACATTACACCCTTCCCTCGTAACGTGAGTTTGGGCCGCCTGTGTTCTGTTCCTTCTTCAGCGCTCCTATGTGTGGAAAATCTCGTAAACATTCGTTCAACACAGAAGTAATCGTGGATTCCTCTATTTCACGCGCGTGGACGCCACACGCCATCTTTCTGAGTGACAGGAACGACCCGCTTTGAGAGTGTTGATATAATCTGTCAAATCTGACTAATCAGAGGGTATACCAGGAGCTGGCATAACGGAACGGGTCGTTTTAATAGAGAAATAATTACTGGCTCCGCCGCCCTTGTTCTCCCCAGTTTCCTCCCGTTTTATTTTCGTGTTTCCGCTTTCTCAATTCAGCGGACCCGATTATCTCGGAGCCTGGAACACGCTACAATGAGCGTGGAGAAACGTCTGCCGTTCGCAGGCTACGAAATTCATAGAGTCTGATTAAGTCTGATTATGTTCAACCAACCTGAGAGAGAGACAGACAGACAGACAGACGGGGGAAGTGGGGGCGTAGGGGGTAGTGATATGCCAAAAAACTGAAAAGAAGTTAGCCAATACACTCTGAAAATTTTAACATTTTTTTCAATACATCCAACAACGAAAGAAGGATAGTAAGGATAGTATACCCTAATCATCACCAAAAATATTGCTGAATTAGTAAGATCACAGAAGTGAACTTGTATACTCACTCCAGCAAAGACCTCTGTATACTGTATACCTAGAAACCTAGTCGACCCAGGAGTTTGTTCATTCCCTTAGAAATCGTTATTCTCCAAGAAATGATTCACCCCTAAAGTGCAGGGTTAGCCATAATTATTTTAAACAAAGAAAATGAAGGGGTCGCTGATAAAATATTGTCGACCGTTATGAAAACACAAAATAATACTGTGAACCATTCTATGGGGGATATAGTTTAACCTTACCGTATTTAGTTGATTAACCGCCCTCGGCGCTTCATAAATTTTTCGACCTCGAGAGTGGGCGCTTATTCGAGGCTGGGCGCTTATTAAATTTTCACCATGTGTAGTATGTGTAGTATGTTTATTTTGCAACAATAAGTAGTAAAAACAAAACGCACAGATGCAACAAAGCAAGGTTTCTGTAAAATACTCAGAAGAAAACTTTGTCTCCGGAGAGTCTTTTATTAGTACTTATTCAATTTTTGGGGGGGGGGGGGCGGGGAGGGAGAAGGGGCTGGGGTGGGCACTGGCGCTTGCACTTATTTAAGTTTGAGTGGGAGGGGGAGGGGGTTGGGCGCTTATTCGAGGCTGGGCGCTTATTAACTTTTCTACCGTTAGGATGGGCACTTATTCGAGGTGGGTGTTAACTCGAGGTTGGGCGCTTATTCGAATAAATACGGTAAATCAAATACATTGTTGATTGAAAATCAACAGCTAAGCTACACTGTAATATGCAAGGATTCAGGGCTTCAAAAATACTGTACACTTTTGTAAACTAATTTGGCCTTTTCTCTATTTCTAGAGCTAATCAAACTCTCTGATCTAATGGAGAAGATATAAATGACAAAGAACAAATTTGGGAGCGTTGCGTGACGACAAAAAGATCGGTACAAACGAAGTAGACAACGATGTAATTAAACGAATTCCACACTCACATCAACTTCAGCTTCTAAATGGATGACAGATTCCGCAGCGACGTTGAGTTTTTCAAGTTCGTCCTGGGTTAAAAAAAGTGAAGCAGAAATTTATCAAGCTTGTCACTGAGTCAGTCAATACCCCTGTAAATCTTTTAGTTTATATTTCACCTGAACACGAGGATCCAGTTCTTCTCCCTCTTCATCCTCCTCAGAATATTCATCTAAACTAAATGAATTTCCATCTGCCATATCAAAAACGGATGCAAAACAAAGCAAAGGAACGTCAATTGCACAAAACTGCCGTTCAAATCAGTGACATGTACGAGTCTTCGGCAATGTTCGACAGATTGTCGGAATTTGTAGACGATACGAAGGTTGAAAAACCGCTGTACAAAATATCTGCTTACACCTCTGATTGTTTTGGTTTTTCGGTTCTTTGCACTTTGTCTCCGAAGATGGGAAAGTTGGCGTTTGGAAGGCATCTTATTATTGTAATAAGACCAAAACATGGATCTATGGTCGTTTGGTAATCTACACTCGTTGTATTCGCTTTGTGGAAGAAAAAGGAAGGAAGAAATTGCGTCGATTTTCGAATATACTATGAGGATTTCTTCGAGCTAAAAAAAGAAAATACATCCATATTTTACGCGGCTATATCAGTCCGTGTTAACACTGATAAATATTGGTTCTCCTCGTTTTCTGATCGTGGATATGTTTTTAATACAATCTAACATTTTTGGAAGGAAAGGTTATTTGCGAGGTGCGTAGAAATATTCCAACCTCTACATGTACATGACACAAAATACGAATCGATTTCATGACGTAATCAATACTTTTGTATGGGAATCCCTTATTTACTTTTGCCAAAAAAAAGTACTCTTTCATTTAATTTTTCAGCTCGGGTGGTGAGGAACCACCTAACTCAAAACTCCTCAATATCCTATACGATGCATAGAGTACACTAACTTCAGCTGGGAAGACTGTGCAGAAACAGGGGCAGCAAATTGATGCAGCTTGTTCCAACATAAACAAGATTCACAATGACCTGAGCGTGGCAGAGACTTTAATTTACAATCTAGATTCCTGGTTAAACAAATGGAACGTTGAAACTCCACATGTGCACGTTGATGTTCCAGAAAACAATGCAATGGTAAAGAAGTCTGAATTTCCCATTTTTTATGCTAGGACACAGAAAGAAAAGCACTTACCCGGTAGTTTAGTTCTATCAAATGAATCAGTGGATATTTTAACTGCGGAAAGAAATTTTGATATCAGTTTTACTCTGACGGAAATCACTGAAATCAGTGTTCACACACCATGGGAGATGACCATATTGCAGCTTAGGATTGGTCAGACTGGACATTCTGTGCATCTCATAGCAGCATGGTTAGTGCACATTCTTCAAACACTTGAGGTTATGTTGCCTGGGAAGGTAAACTATGAGGATCCACCAGGTGAATTTGAAGAAGATGCTGAGGAGAAGTTAGATGGACTTGATTTGCACGGTGGGTGGAATTCCTGGAAGGGTACACCTAGAATGGCCGATATGGGGAAGCTCCACCCAAAAGGAGTACCTTTTTCAAACTTCAGGAGTATAAAAGGGTAGAGATCTCGCTAGCTGAAGTATTTCAATGGGTAGAGACATCTGTCATTTTGGTCTGTAAAAAAAGGCCCAAAAGGGCTAAAAGATGCATTTTATTGGTTAGAAAAGTCGAGGAAAATGCTTTGGTTTTGATTTTTATTCATATTTTAAAGATAATGCAACTATAGCAATTAAAAAGGATAAATAATAATAATAAATTGCTCATTAGATAAAAATACAATGTTACAGGATAAAAAGATTACAAGTTCAGCTAAATTACAATAGAATAAAAAGATTAAAAAATGCGAAAAAGTAGTTACACATGTCTGACGCAAAATATCATAAAAGATTGTATTTAAAAATTAATCTATTTACAAATGTGTTCTTATAACGTTCGGTGTTTATCTTGGGCCTTTGGAAGCTTTTACGTCTAAGATTGTAGTTAGATTCTTCTTTTCTTGCGGTAAGCACCCCTTCAGAGGGTGGTTATCATGCTGTTTAGCTTTTTGAAAAATCGCTTTATCTTGTTTTTGTAATAATGATCTAATATTCAACTGTGTAGATATAAAGCGTAACTTATAGCATCTGTCTAAAAGTTGCTGAAGGAAATTAATTTCCGCAACAGAGGCACCATAAACAGATAGTCCATAGGTTATGTTAGGGAAAACAATACTATAGAAGAGATAATCAATTTCTGTCTGGCTATAGCGCTCTTTTCTACATACTCTCAGCACGTGTAGACATTTTTGTTGGCCTTGCACAGTTTAGCTTTTATGTGTGCAAGACAACGAATTCAGCAAATGCAAAGTTCTAAACTAGATTTTTAAAGGGCTACCATTGGTCAGTAGAAGGTATTTGAAAGGAGTACCTTTTTTGCCAAAGTTGTATGTAAAAGGTTAAGGGGTTGCACCTCAGGGCAGAGCGTCCCAGTATAAAACTTTGTAAAATACCCCCCTCTCCCCTCCTCCCCCCTCAAGGGGGTAGAACCACAGTTTTAGTGTTTCACTCATTAGCAAATTAAGTAATGAAACATTTCTTTTTTCCAATAACCTGATTATCTGTTTTTTTGGGGGGGAAAGGAGACTGGTGGGAAGCAAAAGGTGAGACAGGCTTGATTTCTGCTGCTTTCTGGAGTCCAGGTTCGCTCCTCCGTGAGAAGAAAGGAAGTAGCTCAGACAACTCAGGTTCATTTCCCAAACCAGTTGCTGGTAATCAAGTCTATTTTGTGTCAGGCCTTCCTTTATCTCTTCTCCTCCCCCCTTTTCACCAAAATCTCCTCTAGGCTATTTTGGCAAAAACTGCCCAACAAAGTAAAGCCTTTCAAATGCCCAGGGGAGGAAGGGAAGAAGTGAAACTGTTTTGTCTTTTTTGCATGCCAGAGCTTTGAAATCTTCCCAGCATTGTGCTGGTAATCAACATCTTGGGTAGTGGAAAACAATACGGTTCAACTAACTTTTACTAGAACTTTGCTTCATGTTAAGGCTTTCCTCACCGATATGTTCAGGTAGCTGAGAAAGGAGGCTTGGACATTCCTAGCCCCCCCTCCCCTAACCAGGTGACCTTGTAACAAACTAATATCTAGTCTAGAAGGAAAGGGAATAGCAATAATAATTATTATACTTTTATTCTCACAGCACAAACAATGTCCAGCTCTTTTGGCTTGAATAGCACTACTATAACGAAAAATAATTATGTCGTTCCTTACAGATAACAACGATGATGCAAGCGCTGCTAGAGGAGACTTTCAATTTAGCACCAGTCAGGGACCGCGCAGCAAGTTTTCGAGTTGGGGGGGCTAAAGAAGAATGCGTGAAGGAAAATTTTTTTGGGGGGGGGGGCGGCATGCTTGTGGATTCCTATTCAATTTCTCTAAAGTGACGGAGAATGCGAATAACGATAAAATTATTGATTTTTTTCCACATCTTCAGTGATGTTGCTATTGGGTCTGAAAATTCACCATCACTAAATTGAAATATCATAGATTGTTATGTTATACTACTGATATCAACCTTTAATTACTATAAATAAGCCAAAAATCCAACGATTTTACTTGAGCTGCCTTGAACTCAAGGCTGTATAATTACTGAGCAATTATTGCACGAGGCTGAGTATGATATGAAGAGTTATGCAGATCGAGGGGGTCATCCGCCAAAGCCGAAGGCTTGAGCCCGGTGGATAACACCCTCCGAGATCTGTATATCTTCATATCATACGAAAGACGAGTTCAATCATTGTTTAATTATTCATTCAAAATATTTACACGGCAAAACAAAACGGTAACTGAAAATAATTTAGTGAATGATATTAAAGTTACTGTACATCATTTACTCGAAAAGTGCCAAAATTACGCTTTCTGTTCGTGTTGCGGTCGGTAAATTCGTTTGCTATGTCAATGGTGGAAAGCCTGTCCGTTCTTTCTTTGTGTATGTTTAAAACTGTCAGGTTACTAAATCGTTCCTGGTTCATTCTTGAACGGAGCCACGTTTTTAGCCTCCGGGCAGTCGAAAAAAATCTTTCACCGGCTGCACTTGTTGCTGGATTTACGAGAATCAGCTTACATAACGTGATAACTTCTTTTATCATTTCCCGTTCTGGGTTGGATAGCTCTTTAATTTTTACTATGATGTCGTCAAAACAAAAATAATCACCATCCTTCAGCAGCACTTGTAAAATTTTCATCTGGGCGGTTAACACTGAAATATTAACATCATCGTTGTACACGTTTTCCATAAACTTTAGTTCGTCGGATTTGTCCTGTGAATTGAGGGTCTTAATTAAGAGAAACTCCATCTTTGCATACGTATCAAAGCTTGGCTGGTCAAACCGCTGGTCAATAGCGTTCATCATCAAGTTAATAGCTTCAAAGTATATTCGCCTGTAATAGTCTTGTGCGGTCACAGGATATGTTGGCTCTCCAGTGCCAATTTCAATTCTTCTTGGCGCGCGAGTTCTCCTTGGTAAAATCGGTCCACTCATGGAGGGATAGCTTTTACTTTTCAGTAAAACTACATCATAAAATGATCTGAAGCTCGTATCGTTTCGCATCTTCTGCAGAACGTCTTTTGTAAGACAAGCTACTCGTTTGCCACTTAGAGCTGACATCTTTGTTTCCTGTAAGGTTCTTGATGAGTTAAGGTTAATGATAAGCCATTTAAAAGACGTTTACCTCTGTTAGGTTAGAAGCGAAAAAATCTTTTACAATTGTAACGACCAATGCTTCATTCTGTCTATTTCTCTGTGCGTTTGTCTTTGCCAGTAACTCTGGTCACTTTCGAATTAACGATTTTTTGCTATTTTTCACTCCGTTACTTTTGTTAAATTATTTTTTGTTTAATTTATTTTTATTCTTGCAAAAAAGTGGGGGGGGGGGGAGGGGGGGGCTAAAGCCGCCCCTCCCTCTGCGCGGTCCCTGCCAGTACAGCAAAGAATTCCAAGTCAGTAACAGATGCTGAAGCAGCTGAGATGGGGAAGGTTCTGCAGCATATGAGAAGTCTCGCACTGGGAATACAGGATGAGCAGAACAGGCAGCTTCGACAATTGGATCTGCTATCAGATTCTATTGATAAAGCCAACGAGAGAGTACGAACTGATTCTCGCAAGATTTCAAAACTCACGTGACTTGAACAACTACTCAATAACTTGTAGTTTCGTTGAATGCTAGGAGTATCATAATGATTTACGTTATTAACCTTTGTCAATCAGGTCTGGTTATAAAAATGAATGTCAATGCTATTGGAGGCTAAAAGTGGAAAATTAGGGGCAAGGGTAACAAAGGCCAGGCAAAAAAGGCGAAAACCAAACAGTGCTTTGTTGAAGGTTTTCTGCTTTCGATGCTCCTTTCCTTTCAGAAAAACCACTTCAGTGTTATATACTTAATTTAAAAGACAAACAGAATATTATTCTGAAAAGCGGCATATCCATACTAAGACCCCAGTAGGAAATTACAATTGCCTAGTGACAAAAATAACTGGATTAAGCGAGTGCAATGCATCAGACTATTAGCCGATACATGGAACAGTAGACTTTCAAGTCCTTCGCTTCTCGTTTCTGGTTCTGGTAGTAAGCTCCCGGCCTCTCGCTCACTTTGCCACCGAAAACATAACAAATTTCTCGCTCGCCCTTTTCGGTCGAGAAAACTTTTGAGCTCAACTGGTGGGCAAGTCTAACGGAACAGGAAATTTAGGTAATTAGTGGTCAGCTTCGAATCAATATTGGTCGCATATCTCGAATCAGTATGGGGCCGCATATTTCGAATCAATATAGGCCGCATATCTCAACTGAAAATAAGTGCTGAGAGAAGATGCTTAACCGAAGTTACACTACATCCCCACCCCACTCTCACCCAAGCAGTAGCCTCGGGCTTTTACCGTATTGTTGATTAGGACTCTGACCCCAAACACGAAAGCATTAAAAAATGGAAAATTTAGTGAAAAAGTTCATTTTATTGACTTCGCATTGAGCTGGAGTTTACACTTATAAGCAATGAATAAAAGAACCCAGGGGCGTAGCCAGGTTTTTTCAAAGGGGGGGTCACCATCCGGGGATCGCCGACTGTATATGGTTTATACCGCTGCCCTCCCTCGTGTATCAGCGGGCTCAGTCGTATTATCGCGGCATGAAGGCCCATATTAACTAAAGACAAGAGCCGTTGACGAAAATACTTTACAAAGAAGTGGGCTTTTCAACCTGGCTTTTATGCCAAGATATTGTTATGGAGTTTTCGCCACCTGGATATTGTAGGTTTTTTGCTCAAAAGAAGGCCTACTAAGGGGGGGTCACGGGCACCCCAGCCCCCCCCCCCAGCTACGCCCCTGGAACCTTAATCAAATTTATCATTAGCGTCCCTTAGCTTAAGTTGAACCCTTTGTTGACGGCCGGCGAGTAGCCAAAAACCATATTTTTCATCAGTTCCTCTTCTTTGGACTAGTTTTCGGCTGATTAGCATAAGAATGGCTAAAATGAGTCTTCAAGGAAAAAGGCATATTTACCGCCTAATCTGACGTAATTAAACAGCTCTTTTGTTTTTCACGCATGGACAAAAGCCAGATTTTTTTTGTTTTGTTTTGTTTGTTTGTTTTTTTGGCGAATCTATTTCGATCTTTCTCTCTCGCTTTCTTTTTTCCCTTCTTTTCCTTCTCTATTGGCGGTTTTGTTGCCCACATTATCGTCTTTCTTTTGCATGAAATTGTGGCTCGCTAACTTTTTAGTACAGGGACAAAGTTAATTTTCAAACAGTAGTATGTAAAAAGCTAAATTTGCAGTGGATTTTTCCCTTAAATGTTACCTTTTTTGTGAGAGTAACTCTGTCAGGGTTGATCAGAATATCCAAAACGAGTTATCGCTGGAAAGATATATCTTTGCAGCTGACGTTGAAAGCTAAATGGGTCCAGGGAGGAATATATACCTCGTTCCATATGGTCGTATACAACACCAGCCGTCCGAAAAGGGTTAAGCATCATTACAAGCAAGCTATACTGTATGCGGAATCAGATGCGTTTTGATGGCCAACGTTTATTCAAAGCGAGCATAAACATCAAAAAACGATTTTCCAGCATTGGTAACTCCCGAGTACGACAAACAGAGCTTCTGTCGTCCAATCACTCTTGGACGATCGGAGAGATAAGACAGCACCAGCTCTGAAGAAAGCGGGCTATAACCAGGAATCCGCAAAGAACCCGTATGCTCAGGGGAGAACTTTTCTGAATGTATATCCTCACCAGTCGCCTCTTTTATTTCAACGTTTACATCTTCATTGTTTTCGCCGCAACCCCACCAAAAGGTCACATGGGTGTCATTGCATGCCACATAACCATACGCGTGGACCAGTTTTACTTCTGCCAGTGTGCCACTAGATGGGACAATAAAACAGCAGCCTTTTTGGTTGTCTATCACACTAAAGCGAATTGGAGACTTCGTCATTTTGATCCAGGGGTCTGAAACAAAAAATGTATGCAGGTCAGTAACTAGAATAGACCATATTCACGATACCCGCCATCTTTGCACACTTTTTAAGGACTGATGGGATAAAAGCGATGACACGTGGTTTCCCAGGGGGAAAACTACCCGGGAGGGTACTTGGTTTAATTTTTGCTAGGTATGTGCCGCCTGACTCTCATAGCCCCTACCCCATTATAGTCTATTTTTAGGCCAATTATAGACCCCATCTTAGTCACTTTTGGCAAATATGTAATTTTCGCGATCCCAACATAGTCACCTTCTATTTATGTATCTACCTTGTATTGAATGAAAAACACTTTACTTTTCACCTACAGTGCAAACATTCTGGTACGTTTGCTAACCGTAAGTATGAAGAACTGTCTTACCCCAAATATCAGAAAGTGTGCGACCCCATGCTGGTAACTCTATTGAAAATGCGACCCCATTATGGTCAATCCAGTCGTAAAAATTCGACCCCATCCCGCGGCACATCCCATTAGCCTCTTATAAGGAAGTAGCCCCCCCCCCCCCCCGAGGGGGGGGGGGGGAAACTAGTCCACCAATATAACAAATCGCGGCCGAGTTGGTTTATTCTGGACGACAAAAAATGACTGAAGAAATTTTTATCTCAAGCACGAAATTATGGGTGGAAGTGATCATTATTACTTTTTATATAAGCAGTAGTGACAGTACGTGTGCTCACAGCAAGCAATAATGACATAAAACTTGTTGAAACTCGAACTGTGCATTTCGCAAGACTAAGATTGTCGTTTTGTTTTGAGGGAATAAACAAACTACTAGTGCACGCAAATTTTATCATTTGTTTGCCCCCTGAAATACCACGTGACATTGCTTTTATCCCATGAATTATAAAGCATGTGCAAAGATGGCGAGAATCGTGAAAAAAGGTCTATTAGCGAAATAACCGTTTGACCAAAAAAGCGTGATGCTCGGAAAAAATGGTTGTTTTGCCAATTTATACCTATTGCTTCTCTGCCGTTCTCGTTGCCGTCGCCGTCATCGTTGCTTAAGCTTGAGGTGGTCAAGCGCACCTCTATACTTTCCAACATGCATTGGTGTACGTGTGTCCTTGGTCCAACACTGTAAATACAGACGGGCTAGCTGGTCAACGGTGTAGGTTCATTTGCACGCAGCTGTTTGCTTGGCGTGTGTCAAAAAAGAGTGCCACAATAGCAAATTATTTAAGACGTTTGTTAGTGCGAGTTTACCCAAAGTTAAACCTTGGTAGAATTCTCGCCGTACTTTCCTTTTCGGGTGAAATTTAACAAGGACACCTTGATTTTTCAAGCAAATCGATCATATAAAGAGGGCAAAGAGTGACACTCGCTCACTACTTCATAAGCTTTCACAGCAATTCATAACGATAATCTTGTACTGAACTTTCAGTTAATTGTTAATTGTAAATTGTTAATGGCTATTGCATGAGATTGATAAAAATTTAGTGTTTTCGAAAAGGGGTATAAGCAGTTTGGTTACAGTTTTAACTCTTTTCGCTTTGAAAATGAACTTTAATCCTACCTTCATCAGTTTTTTTCTTTTACTCTTGAAACCAAGTCTTTTGAACTTCGAGGTCAGATGATTAATTTAATTGACAAGCTATTGGCGTTCTTTAGTTTGGTTTTCTATAGAAGTCTTTATTTCTTGTTTTAACGGCCAGGGTATGATTTTTTATCGCCTGTTCAAACTGTTTAGTTTGGTTACCTTTTGAATCCTTTAACACCAGGGTCTGGTTATCTATTTTCTTTCCAAGCCATCTGCGCACGTCATTTTGATTTGATGTTACTTTGTTTCTGAAATCTGCGACCGTCTCATTAAGAAGATTTTCAAGCACCTCGTTCAGCTTTTGTCTCGTGTAATTAAGAATACCACCATCTTGAAAACCTGCGTATTGATAAATGACAAATTGTAAAGCCTTAATTTGATTTCATTCATTTAACTGGACTGGACTTTTCAAATTCCTATTCGATAAGAGACATCTAAAGACATATAATGAATAATTTCAGGCACTTGCTTGGCCCCACTAGCGTTAGTGCTGCAAATACTGCCGAGGGTAAACAAAGGATATTATTATTATTATTATGAAAACAGACTGCGGCTACCGATATTAAACGGGATGGCCGTGGCTTAATCAGCAGACATTCTTCAGAAAGCATTTGTCATCAGTAGATTTGTATTTTGCTGTTTTTTAGTATGTCAGGCAGTAGTTCGGCTTTTTCTTTTTAATAAGCCTTTGTCACGCGGCGGCCATTTTGTCTCAGGGGATTTAAAAAGATTGTTTATGCACGGCTAGTCTTGTAGAGAGAACGAGGCTAGCCGTGCATAAACAAACCTTTTTAAATCTCCCGGGACAAAATGGCCGCCGCGGGACAAAGGTCTATAGAGTGGTTAACCTTCACATTTACGTCAAACGGCAAACGCTAGAGAGAAATTTTCTCTCCTTTCGTGAAGCTTACAGTTTGTACCACGTGACCAAGTTTCCCCTTTACTTGTCTTTTACTGCCCATTATTTCTACAAATAAATTAGTAGTTTCACGCAATTTTTTATCCATAAAAATTGTCTTGAGCTTTCTTTATCTAATCATTTTCTATTTTGAGAAATTCGTAACTTGAATCTAGCGTTTACCGTTTGCCGTATACGTGAATCTGCCATTTTCAACAGC